ATATATATATAAGAAAAAAGAAAAAGCCCTGAGAAACCACCTGACCTGCCCTAAACTAAAACCAGCTGGTTAGAAACTCAAACATACAATCTTTTTTCTGGTCAGTGAACACCCCACAACTAAATGCTAACAGACTGTGGCAGCAGCAACACTTTTTACAGTGTTATTTCTTAAAGATGTAAATGTGAATGCTCAGAATTAGCTTGTGCCAGTATCTGTGAAGTCTTAAGAAAGGAAATCAGAATAACATGTCTGCTGATTATTCAGGCTGCCACTTCTAAAACATGGCGTGAAACTTCTGCAGACAACAGGGAGGATATCAAGATCACAGCAAAGCTCCTCCTTTTCATCATTTTGAGCTTTCAATCACATGGAATAAGTTGAAAATGTCAGAATGCTGTTTTTGTGTTAGAATATTGATAAAATCTTGTTTCACTGCGACAGGCAGCGTGACGTCACCTCTGCCTTTCACATAAATAATTCATTGATGCTCCAGTCAGGAATACATAATGCGATATTGTGATGCATAGTTCTTTAAGATAAATTGAAATAAGCTGGATTTTTTTTTTTATATTGATGTGTTCAAATCTGGGCTGCATCTCCAATGGTTTCTATTACTCTGTATAATTATGTTACATTCATCAACATACTAAATTCTCTTAGTCTGAACTTAAATCACATTAGCTAACATTTGCTACTGCTCAGAAAATCACTACGTCAAGGGGAGTGAGAAAAAATAAAAGTAGATGTTTGAATTAATTAAATTAATATTAATAATCTGAAGAGCAGAAGTAGAAGCAAAAACTGAACCAAAGGACCAGCTGATGAGATTAGTCCGATGTTTATCTCTTTTAAAAAGTCAACATTACAGCACATTTAAATACACATAATTTGAGAGAAAGTTCCTGGGCACATTGATTAGAATTAGGATGTTGGATATTGTCGTCTTTTTGCTATTGAATGGTTTTTAATTGATTTCCCGTTCACTGAACTTATTCAATGATCTGGTGCCTTCAACAGGAAGTGAGAAAATCTGAGAAACATGATTTTCTGAACTGACGGAAAAACATTTCGAAACCTCTCTTTTGTGTGTGTGTGGGTGTGTGTGTGTGTGTGTGTGTGTGTGTGTGTGTGTGTGTGTGTGTGTGTGTGTGTGTGTTGTGTGTGTTTTGTATTTCAATAATTGGCACCGTCTAGATTTGTATTGTTTTTAAAGAATGTGGCAGCTTGTTGGCTCCATGTGACAATATATTAAGCACATAACACATACTAATCAAATCCTGCTGGGTTTTACCAACCAGGCAGACGCCAGCATCGATCTGTGAGCGCATGAAATGTCCAAACTTGAAGGTGTCTTTTAATCACTATCCGATTTCCAGACTCCCATATTTGAGTGTATTTTGATATCATCTGGAGGCAGAGCAATTTGTTTTAAGAGGTCTTGGCTCAACGTGCAGCAGCATTTAGAACAGGCAGCAGTAATTGACAGAAAGAGGTAGAGGGAGGTTAAGTGAGGAAGGACAGAGAATAAGTTGAAAGGCGGACGTGCCTGATTCCATGAATGTTCTTGATTGCGTAGCTGATTTCCTTGCGGAGTTCTTTCTCGTCAAACTCCATCTGAAAAACAGGCGGAGAGGAAATTAAACATACACACACTCACACACGGTCGATTCTGGCAAACAGGGGGCAGACATCACGGGAGTTCATCTATTAACCTTCAAGCATCTGTTTTTAATATATTTGACCAGATATTTCTTCTTTATTTAGTGCAACGCCACATTTATTACCTGCATTCCTGAAGCAAAACGTTTTCTTCGGAAACACTCTCAATAAACACATAAAACATGATGATTAATCACCCAAAGCTTCCTGGAGTTTCAGTCCACCCTCTGGTTAGGAAGCAACCTGCTCTGTCCTCGGTGGGAAACCCACTGGGAAGTTTTATGTTGCCTCAGTCAACTTACAGTGAGTTTTATATCCACAGAGGGAGGTTGAGAGAAGATGCAAGAGAGAGCTGGGAAACCGGGAGGAAAAGGTGAGGTGGAAACGATCTGGCTATGTAAAAGGAAAGGAAGTGAGGGACAGGTACGTAGAGGGGATATTTGAGTCACGACCATCATTCGTCAGATGGATGGTTCAACGTCTCGCAGCAGGAAATCCACAGGTTTATTTGGATTGGCATTGCTCAAATGAAGGGGAAACTCCTGCTCTTGTGCCTGAGTGGTCTTTGCCATGATTTACTGACACACTAAAGGGAACTGAGCAGTCATTGATGTTATTATTTCCACACTTGTTTTTCCTGCTGTGAACATTCAGATTTAACCTGATGTAACAGATGGTTTGGGTTTTTTTCTATGCGAGGCCACCGAGTCCAAAAATATTCCCAGACAGGTCAATACAAGGGTATTTAAAAAAAATCCTAGCACAGACAAACCAATCTTTACCTTTTTGCAACATGACATGTACAAGCTAGGAAAGAAACATTCATAGGAGTAAGTATAATTTTGTCAAGTTGGTTCAATCTAATACGAAATATCTATAACAAATGTTTACATTTTTGTGTCCTGTGCATGTTTTTTTTCTTGCAACTGTCACTGCTTACTTTCATGAGCACACCTTACAGAACTCATGAAAAAGTCGAGCAGGTTACAGGGGAGTTGCAACAATAATAAACAGCTCTCTTGGGAAATTTACAAATACAAAAAGCAGCATCTGCTCATGTACCGCCATGCAACTAAACTGCATCAAACCTCCCGTTCCCAAGACCCTTCCACCACCTTTTCGAGCCCTCCGGCACCCGAAAAGACAAAAAGTCGCATCATATAAAAGGAAAAACGTATTCTGTCTCATACAACCCCCCTGATATAAACCATAGGTCTCAAGAAATTACGAAATCACTATAGCAAGATATTAAAATGTCCCTTGTGAGGTACAGCATGTACAGGACTGACAGCTTCCTTCCTAAGTTTGAACCTCTGTAAATCTATTCATTCATTCATTTTGCTTTGTTGGTCATGTGGTAATGAATGAGCCATTTTAAAAGTTTATAGCAAAGTTTACTCAGAAAGCAATCCTTAGAAAGCTGTTGTGAGGAGCATCAGAAACCCTCAAATTTGGGGAAAGTTTTCTAAGACGTGTGAGGGAGATGCAGCACTAATGTAACACCTAAAAGGTTGGTTGAGTTTACATTTTGTTTTGTTTTGTTTTTCTTCACTTTCCTCTATCTTGCTGTAATCTGCTAAGAGATCACAGTGAACGAAAAACTGTTATGAACTGAGAAGGATCGAACCAACTCTGAGGTAGAGGAGGATGGAACTAAAATTTTGAAATGAATTCTAATATTTATGTTTTGCATACGAGCTAAAAATGATAATTAACAGAGACTTTGTCAGGCTTCAGAGAGTGACGAGACTTCTTTGGGTAAAAACACAATGTGTGAGCTGAGACATGAGTTTGCTCCCCGACTTTTAAAAAAGGGGAATAAAAAAATCACAAAAGAAACACAAATCTGTTATTGCAATGGTTCAATGCAATAACTGAATGCATTGAATTATTTTAATCATCAATGTACCCCATAAACTAAGGCTGTAATTATCTGTTGTACAAAAAGATTAATTTATGTGAGCTGGAATCGAAGGGGGAAAAAAAACAGATGGGACTAAATATGAGTCTGGAAAATGAGACCATAAAAGTCCAGCTTTAACAGATTTGTATAAAATTATTAACAACGTAGTTTTACAACCATATTAAACAAATGTTGCAGATTAGTTTCCATTTACATCCTGGATCTTGATGTCATCATTTTCTATTCATGTTATTTATTTTTATTTTTTTTTTTGCATCATAAAAATGGAGCGCCAAACATCCTAGCATAAAATCACCTCCTTTTGGGATCTTAAAATAAAAAGAAATAAGTGGACGTTATTTATTCCGAGAGCAGGAAAAGTATTATTGGCGCAGATTGTTGCATGCACGCTCTTTGCAGAGTCCCCACCTTGACCAGTTCGAAGGGGAAGCGCTCGTGGAAGATGCGATTGATCCTCGCGCCGCCCGACAGCTCGGCCGTGTCAATCTGGTCTCCGGAGCCCTCTATGCACTTCTCAAAGTCCACTGAAAACTGCTGCACCATTCTGCAAGAAGACACGGACGCAAGCATCGGCAAAGCATCCACCTAACCTCAAGTTTAAAGTCAAATCTGTTCGTCTGCTTACTGGAGGAGGGCCTTGGTTTTGCGGGACGGATCATCGGGTCTGAAGTTCTTGTACTCCTCCACCTCCTTCTCTATGGAGAGGAGCTGACTCTGCAGCTTCGCCCGCAGACCCGGCAGGGTGTCCCGGATGTGGTTGGTCAGTTGCTGTGCAAGTTAAAAGGTCGCCGTTATCGATTTTAGGTCAACGTTGGGTAAAATGAGAAACGGCATAGAGCAACACGCTTTCCCCCCACCCCCCTTACCTGATTGAGGACTTTCTGGAGGTAGGGCGTGCCCATGCGTTCAGCCAGGTGTCTGTAAGCAGGGTGGGTGAGGAAGAACTTCCTCTCAGCAGCCATAGCAGCATTAATATCCTTCTTTCCGTCAATGTCCTTCTGGCTCCTGTTAACCACGCCGATGTAACCTGGATGCAAAATATCGGCCTGAGTCTAAAAGGCTGAGATTTACAACAAGGGGGGAAACTGATCCAGGTAGTTTTAGGACTTCCTTGAATTTGAGACAAGACAAAATGAGAAGAGGAATCTTGGATTATTCTTTAGCCAACAAGTGGATCTAACTGATTCACATGCGCTTCATGATGCAAGCCTGAGTGAGACGCAAAAATGTTATTGCAAACTACAAGATTTATGTTCGCCATGTTTTGAGGACACATAGGAGAAGAAATGGAGGAAGAAAAAAAACTAGCTGGGAGAGTTCAGGGCAAAAGGATCCCATTTCATCTCCAGTTAAACTTCCTGATCCTTCACTCTGGTAAAAGTCGTTTCATGCTCTATAACTAATGCAAATTCGAGCCAACGGCCTTGTAAATCAGAACATCCGCGACATTAGCCGGAGAGCAGGCTGGAAAAAAACAAGGAACATGAAAATATTCAAAAACACATGCCTGGGGTCTGACCAAGTGTCAGTGGAAAAGAAAAGATTGAATCAGCAACAACAAAAACCCACAAGACAGACACAAGATCTTTTCCACAGGGAGATTTTCCCCTTTAAAAAAAAAAAAAAAAAAAAAACGCTCTTTTTCCAAACTAAATTTTTTATATTTTTTTTTTTTTTTAATTCAGATCTGATTTATTTCTGTCTCTCCTCTCATTTTCTTATTTTTCCCCCTTCTTAACCGGCTTTGAATATGCCTGCCTTTCTACCACAAGAGGGAAACAATGTGTCACTGCGCTGCCCTGAGGTGGGGAAAAGAAGAATGTTTATTTGTGGGCTCTCACCCCTGCGCAGGGGAAGCAGCTTGTTCTCCAGGATGTCTTTAGCGTCTGTCCCTTCGTCCATCAAGTCCAGCTTGGTGATCACCCCTATGGTCCTCATTCCTACAGGTTGTAAACAGATTGAGCAGAAATACATTTAATAAAACGCAACGTGATCACAAGAATGTGTGAAAAAGGGGTTTGACCAGAAATATTGGGTTTCTAAGTACAGAGTATGGAAGATATTTATATTTCCGGATTTAAACCATGTCCAATACACTAAACGTGTTTAGGATCCCTGACAATAATGACTATTCAGAACAATAAATACATTTTTGGTTAAATTAGTGAAATTTGTATTTTCTTTTAGTGAAAGCATTTGATTTTTCCTCTGTTGTGTCGACGTCTGGGTTTGCTGGCATGCACGTCCTCACCCTGAGGGTCGACCTCTTTGGCAATTTTTAAAGCATCAGAGTTGGCCAGATCTGAGTTGGCCGGGGAAACGGCCAGCATGAGGCAGTTCTCCTTGGTCACAAACTGCAACAGCATGTCTCTGATCTGAGCCTCGATGTCTGCAGGCTGGTCTCCGACCGGCACCTTGGTCATTCCCGGCAGGTCCACCAGCGTCAGGTTCAGCACTGCGAGAAGGAGAGGGAACAGAAGAGCTGAGATCATTCAAAACAAAATGGACTATCTCATCAAATTAGCTCTTGATGAAGTAGAATTTATCATGCAGAGCCTCATAAAACATAATTGAATCTGTGTATGATGCAGATGTCAGACTTACCATGAGGAGAGTAGACACGCAGGTTGATGGGGACGGGGGAGATGCCCTTGTTGGCTCCCGTGATGCGGTCAGTCTCCGCCTCAATCTCCTGTCGCACCTCATCAAAATCTGTGAATTTTTTGCCCTTGCAGTGGAGGAACTCTGCATATTCTGAGTTAGAGCATTTAAAAAAAAGTCACATTAGTCAGTAATGGAAGCAGACAAGGTTCTCCCTGCTTTGTTATCTCTTATCTTGTTTTTAGCTAAGATTATATTTCTAAGAATCATGTGTTTCACCTGTAGGGGAGTTCATCAGCTGAAGAACCAAAGGACGACGGGTCACGATGCCAGAACCACGAGGAAGGAAATCCCTGCAACACAGAAACGAAGAACATGTTTAATGATCAACGTAACATAAAAGGTTTCTTTTTTTTTTTTTTTTAATAACTGCAAACGTTAACATTGCCTGGCTTGGAAGAATAAAAGTTGTTTTTATTCCCCTTTTCATTTATTTATATTTACAAAATCAAACACTGGTGATTGTTGACTAATTTCATTAGTAAAATAATATTATTTATTTTTTTAAATGAAAAATAAAACGAATTTGTAACATAAATTAATAAAATACAATTTAGCTTTTATTAAAAAAAAAAATCACTATCAAGTTAATAAAGTTACATTTGAATAACAGCAGCTGGACTTTAACAATTTAAAAAGGAACGAAATGAAAATGCTCCGAAATGAAATATAAAAACCCCTCAAAATAAAGATAAAACAAATCCTTGTCTTTACATTCTGTCACTTGAAATATGGGAATTATCTGATAGGAAATATAAATAATCATTTTTGCTTTAGAATACAATTTTTTTTTACAGTCTTCAAGTGGAGCCTGGTCTGGATTATCATAAGTGTGGGAGGAACATGTGCTTGTGACAGCATAAGAGGTTGTTTCCACACTTATAACAATCAGGACATTTAGATGCCTTCTTGTGTGAAGTACACTGTTTTCTTTTGCTACTTATGCAACCTTGGTGTCAACTGGCCTGCAGCGCTGCAGACACTTCAGCCAGCTGGCAAGCCTCTTGTCATTCCCTGATGCGTAATTAAGGTGCTGCTGAACGTACATTGTCTTCAGTTTTCTAAGAATATTGTTTGCGTGTTCTTTTCACATTGACTACGTATGTGCATATATAAATGTTTTAAACGTTCCATTACATTACAAAGCCAAAGCTGTGCAAAACAATCTGCCACCAAAGACAGGAAACTCTGAAACAAACATACAAAAATATGCAAGCATGTGTATGAGAAGCAGCTGCTTTACATGCACTGTGTAAAAATTTCACTTTATATTACATAATACAGTTCATACAGACATTTGCTTTCAAGCTTTTGCTTCTTTTGATTCTGATGAAGATTGGAGTATTACAGTTGAGCAACAAAAACGTTTTAATACATAAAGGTCAAGGTTCAGGTCCTTGCAAACATCACTTTATTAGTACGAGAAATACATTCAAACAAAGTGTTTGTTCTACACATAATTTGGTCAGAAATGTTTAGCTAAATGACTCTTCACACCACAATATGTTCTGACAAAAAAACAAACAAAAAAAAAAAAACAGCTGCATCTATGTAATTCTATCAGTAAAACTATGTACAGATTAAAGTGACACATAATTAAAGTAACCTTTCTGAAATATCTATTGTTTATTTCAAATGTCTTTATTTTGATATATTTTATTAAAGATGTTATGCAACAAGGGCATGAAAAAGGAAGGAAAATTATATGATGTAAGAATTCATTTAATATATGTTATTCTGCTTTAAAGGGAATCCTTTTCTCTGGTAGCCTTTCTGTGTCCCATCGGCTCTACCTGCCAGCACATTTTTCTGAGTGGTGTTTCCTCCCCCGCCCCTTTCCTCCTAGTTGGACACTTTTCACAGAGGACAGATGGTCTAAACTGCAGGTCTTCCTCTTACACATTTATTCCACTTAAACTGGCAGCCATCCTCCAATTAATGAGCAAAGCCACAGACAGGGTTTTTACATCTATGTGTTTGCCGACAGAATAATACATTTGTCGCTCTGTAGCGTTACATAAATCCCTGATCATTTCACTAATTCCTTCAGGAAAGCTTCCGCCCCCATCAGTGTCCTCTATTGTTAAATCTCCCGCAGAGACGTGGGAAATGAAACAAAAACACCCACACAATCCTTTCATCGAGGAGACATAATAATGTAAGACAGATTATTTTCTTTTTTATTTTTCATAGTTGCATCAACCTACTTTTGGGAGAGCACTTAGCAGTTGTACAATCATTAATCAATACCTGTCTCAGTCCTAACAGAGTCTCTGGTGGCTCCATTTATCATAACCGCTGCAGCAGAGACTCAAATCTCCTTCAGTTTTGCAGATTTGTGATTATGCTGCTGCAATGAAGATTACTGTCCTTTTAGGCTTTTTAGAAATCCTTGCATGTGGTGCCAAAATATGTCTGTGTCTGTAGAGCTTTTCTTTAGAAAAAAAAAAAAGTATCTTATCTCTGGGGTGGAAGTGCAAAATCTGCACTTACTCGTCTGTAGGTTGTGAGGAGTTTCAGAAACAGGTTCTGTTTTGTACATTTCTTGTTTCTGCAGATCTGGCAATAATGTGAACAGTGAAATTCAACTCAGCTGTCCAAAAATGTATTTATTTGCAGTTGATGCCTGATTTAACAAAGGAAGCACTTTTTTTTTTTTCACATAGGGCTAGACTGGTTTGGAGTTTGTTTGGGGAACAAATTCTATGAATCAGATCATTTCAAAACTGTACGTTTAATTTAGAATGGATATATTTTTCAGCTTTATTTCGAAGCAGTTTGAAGCTCTGAAACATTGAAGTGTGATAAAAAAAACAAGATATCCTTTATATATGTTTATATATAAAGCAGCACTTTATGTGTAGCTATGGACAAGTGTCTAGTAAAAGCCAGTAACGTATTGTTTTCTTTAATTATCAGTTAACTAAAGTGATGCACAGCAGATTGTGTTTTTTCATGTAGAATGGTTAGGCTTTTTTTGTTATGATTTAACATGATTTTTAAATCATACGTTGCTTTTTCTTGTTATTTTTCTCAGGCATTAACAGTTTTACAAATTCAGTGGAAGAATTGGTGGGTTTACGCATGTTCCTTTACATCCTCTTCCTACTGCTTTATGTGAGACATATATTTTTTTTTACGTCTAATAACCTGGACCTGGCGCTCCTCTGTTGGTCGTGTTATGTACATCACCTCACTTCCGACTCCAGACACAGTCGGACACTGAGCCTCGTCTAATCCTCCTCTAATGCGTGGAGTGTTACGAGTCCTGACAGTAATGAAGCAGCACAACAACGTGTGTGTTTTTCCCCCCACAGGCTCTAAAATTAGAGGATGCTTCTAAAGTGATGAATAAGTAATGCACATATACATATAGGATAAAGGTTGGCGGTAAAGCCAGCTGCTCTCCTTGCGGCTGTGTGGTGGGAATAGAGGGTTAGGTCACATCCAATGGGAGAATGTATCGAAGGCAAGCAGAGATTAGTGCTAATCCCCTGTAGCAGTGCCTCAATAAATGATGTCCTCTTCCCCCACTGTCTCTCAGTGAATGCTGTCTCATCCTACCTATATTCAATTCTGTTTCAATAGTTTCACACATTTAAAAGCTACTTCCAAGACCGCAAAACGAAGAGTAATGACACATTTTACAACCTCCGTGAACTTTCTCAGAGGTTTCTATGAAAAAATGCAAATGTGTAACTTGTGATTTTTACTTTCGCAATCCTATATATGTACTTATCCAAAATAATTTTAGAAAACATCTTCCCTTTAAATTTGCTTTGTTGGGGCAGCAGCATCAGAGCCAATGACTTAAAAAGGCTCAGAAAATTACTGACAACCCTGGGCATCCTCTTCATGAGACTGCTTCCCCACAGCAGAGTGTCTTCAGTCAGAGGCTTCAAGAGAACCGCTGTAATACAGACCACTGCAGGAGAGTCCTCCTATCCACAGCCATCAATGTCTACGACTCTTTGAGGAAGATAATGTGATTTGAGATGTAGAACAGAATTTAATATTTCAAAACTGAGATAAAGGTTTCCTACAAGAGTGAGCTCAATTTTTCTTTGAATTTTAAAATGTAATGATTTAGTAATGCAGCATTTAACTCGGGCAACAATTCTTTTTCAACAGGGATCCCACGCCATGTCCTTCCTTCCGCATTAATAAAGACGGCATCCCTGCTCCTAATTTTAGACACAATAAAGCGTTTCATGCAGCTGCAGTCCACTGTCCTGCTCCTCACTTCCAGGCCTCTGCCTCAGCATTATGTAACACAACACCATCTTCATATCATCAGCTTAACATGGGTGTGGGAACGGCGATGGCAGCTGGGAGCGAGGAATCACAGGCTGTAGTTTTACAGCGAGGTATTAGGTTGTGCAAGTCAGCAGGTTGGATAAGCCGTAAAAAAAATATTTAAAAAAATGCTGCTGCAACATCAACCTCCTCAACTGTCTGCATCCCAGGAAAACATTTATCAGTGTAAAACCTTTGTGTTTCCCCTCCATTTACGCCACACTACCAGTTTCTGTTCGAGTTCATCGTTCCTAACGATAGGAATTAGAAAAAGTGTTGTTGTGCATGAATATTTTGAATCGAGTTAAGGAAACTAAAACTTCTTAACAGTATTTCTGTAAACTGACGAAATAACTGGAAGCTGCAGTAGTACGCAATTTTTGTTGGGTTTAAGAGTTAATAGAAAGAGAGAGAAGAAAAAGAGAGAAAGAGCTGTCCGTGGTTCTGAAAGTAAGCAGCATGTGAAAGTAATGACTGGGATGGATGAAAGGTTCAGCGCACTAAATTTAATCCGTTCTGGAGCCAAGAGAGAAATATGTCCCATTATTAAATGCAACAGTGTTTCACTCAGAGTCCCAGTATCAGAAGATATCTTCATGTTTACCCACAATGCAAGCTAAGTATAGCTTTTGCATGACTATAGGTTCTCATTTCAGGATTTACATTTTAACACTAGCTTTTTAACAGATTTTTATTTCACTTTAGGATAAACGAATCACTCCTCAAACTACACAAAACTGATGTTCAACTCCAGGTCCTAATTGCTGCTTTATTGTGTTCGGCACAAGAGACCCGCTTTGTCTGAGATAATTAGACTCTGGTGAGTTTAAAATACTAACTGGATGACAGTCATAAAAGGCAGACAGTGGCTTCGCTCATCTCTTTATTAATGAAAGACAATATTATTTACATTCAAACCTGTGCTGTTATTGGGAGGTGTGAGAAGACGTTTTTAAGTAAAGTAAATTGTTATTTTATGTGTATTATTTAAATATGAACAACATTAGTAGGTTGGATCTACATAATGATAATGACAATGATGGTTATGAGGATAATGTGTTCTTCTGTTGCTCCAACAAAGACACTTCTGTATAAATAACAACAATACATCAAATAAAAAAATGGTGTCTTAATCACCTGATTAATTTACAACTGCAGTGCCAATATGTCTTCAATTCAGCATCTTGCAAAATCTGAACCCTGCTATTACTCTCTGCAGCTGCGACGTACGCTGTCATTTTCTGAGAAAAGCAAAAGCAAATGAAATATTTACTAGAATAAAAAATAATGCAGGTCATTGTGAACGGAGATAAACTCTGCCATCTAATTCAGACCAATTAAACCACTGAGATATGATTTGATCCAACTGAGCCGAATATACATGAGCAGCTATAGAAGGCTGGGAAATTAAAACAGCGGGAGTTCGACATATATCAGCAGAGAGGACTTGAGGCAGAACCAATACAGTGAAGGACAAACGAAATGATGCTTTTGATGCAAAATAAACTAGCAACCTTTGACTCTCCTCGTCCTAGAATCACGCCTGCCAGGTGCACAGCAGCGTGCATTTCAGAGACAAAGTGCTTGTTTAAATTGAACTTAACTGAACTCCTTTTAAACGACTTTTCTTTTAAACGAAAGGCTTTGCAAAAGAATGCAGAAAAACAATTGTTCTAAGCCATTTCTGGCATGCTTCAGTGCTGGATATCAATTGAAAGACTGTCACGGGATGCACAAAGCCTCCGTTGTGAAATAACTGTATTTTGAACAAAGAATGACAGAAACAGGAAGTTAGAAATGGGAGAAACAAAGATGTGTGAACACACTCTGTTGTATGCTTTTATTGGTTTAAATAGATAAAAAAAGGCAGAATAATTAAGTGGTGGAGGCGGAGCAGCATCTGAGCAGCTGAACTTGACAGATAAAAACACAATCGTTTCTGTTTTACACTGTAGTTAAAAAAAAAAAAAAGAACTGCATATCCAGCAACTAAAACATCTGCTGGAAAGATTTGCGTATCTCTTTGGAAGAGGTTTTCAACTTGCTACCAAGTCCCCAAGGTAAAGAGACACATTATGAGCTAGAAGCTGTTACTATGACAACAACGGTGCGAGTGCAGAGTAGCATTTTCCAAAATGAGTGTGAAGAGAGCTTTAATCACTTGAAAAAAGCAAAGTGTTACTGAATCAGGGTCTTTCTATGAGGTGTAAAAATTACATAAAGCAAAAGAATGCTTTTACAACAACTTCAAACGATTAAACAGGAATAGGAATCTAAGATAGTATGTGATTATGGCAAAAAAAAAAAAATCACACAAAATGAAGAAAATGTGTTTAGAAGTGAAAGAAAGGAGGGAAAAATACCAGAAGCACCCATAAAAAAACTGAAAAAATATTCATGGAAATTGTAGAACTGAATGAATAAAGAGAACATGATATTAACAATTTACAAAAAATCCAAATCTCAAGAGAAAACCAAAAAAGTAAAGATATTTTAGGAGACAGTTCCAATCAACTGGAAAAATATAGTGTGAATGTGGGTAATTTTAAAAATAATATCCGACCAAAAGTTACATCCAACCATACTTTATATTATGTTTATGATTCGGTATCCCATATGCTGTGTAGCTCTAATATTCCCTGTCTTGTTCCTTTTTTATTTTATATTTTATCTTTTATTTTTTACTTTTTGGTGACTGTAATTTTCTTCCATTACACAAAATACTTTGTGATTTTCTGCATTTTGCTTGTGGTTAGTAAAATGACTGCATACTTACATTCATCTTGTGACATGTTTTCCTATTTTATTTGAATTTACTTTTTAGTGTTGTTTGGCTTCTTCCTTGAGTTTTGTTCACTGCTGTGTTTTGCACTTGTGTAGTAAATTTGTTCGTTGGAATATAAGTGTTTATTATAATTCCCCAGCATCATTTGTAGATTGTACAGACATGTAAACAGGAAACGTGGCTCGCCTGCTCTCAGTTAGGATGGGGGTAAGCTGCCACCAGGTGAACTATGAGTGCACCTAAATCAGAGAATAACAGATCAGTTACAAATCTTTGGATTAACTCACAAGCTGGGTTTGGACATATGTGTTGTTCCAGAGAGGTCAATTATTACTATGATGTTGCTTTTTTTTTTTTTTACCCCATATGTGACTTTATCTTGTTCACTTTAAGATATAATGCTGAATCACATCGACTGAATCCTCCATTAAACATCAAAAAACAAGCAAGCAGATTCTTTTTTTTTCTCTCCAAGCAAGCTGGTTTCACCAATGCTGCTCTGTGTGCAGTAAGCTTTACTTCCAGCATTATAAACACTGCTAGACAGATGGTTTGAGCTGAGCTGAAAGGGCTCAAAGCTCAGGTGGACTCCTTTTCTCCTCACTGCAAGGTCACTGTGCAGCGACTGCCGCACAACAGATCAGATTTGCTCCGCTTTGCTTCGTTTCGTCTGTTTCAGCAGAAACTCCAGCTCTGACAGACAGAAAAACAAACTGGACACGGTCTGAAAGCCTCGAAGCATCAGTTCTGCACACTGTTCTGCGCAGAATTAAAACAGCCTGGAGAGGGAATCGCTCTAAAAGCAACACAAGCAAACAGAAACTGTCTCCCGTTGCCAGAAAGTCAACACCCGCACTTATTTGACTCTCTCAGGATCCCAGGGGGATTTGTGCTCTTTATCGAGACAATAAAACATGTTTTATACAAAACGTACTTATTTTTTTATACTATGTTGCCTAAAAGGGAATTCTGGTCCGTGAATGCATCATGCGGGAGTAAACAGATAAACTTCACCGGGGATTTATGTAGGCCTCACAAAATAATCTGCTTTCCAGCGCGCTGCCAGTGACAGAAAGTGCGACTAAAACCCGAATAATTCAGATGCGCCAGTTTGGTCAATCTAACTCTTTGGTCAATGTGTCCTCTGACAACCTGTCCGGTAATGGAGATGTAAACTGGGCCGCCTGCGGGAACGCACATCCCTCGCTGCCTTGGATAAAGCTACTTACTTCCCGACGAAGTTCTCCAGAACCGAGCTCTTCCCCGCGCTCTGGCCGCCCACCACGGCGATCTGCGGCAGGTCCAGGTTCGCGTTCTGCCCGATGGCCGAGAAGGCATCTTGCATGCGGTTCACCAGAGGAATCAGATCCTCCATTCCCCGGTTCCCCATCTTTGCGGTGCTAGAGGATAGTCTATCCTCCTTGTCAGCGTCGGGGCGGGTTTATTTATCTATCCTCTTCGTCCCCGCAGGCCACCCTGTCTTTCAGAGAGAGCTTTATGCTTTTGTTTTTATTTTACTTCTCGCTTTGCTCCCTCATTTGTGAGTCTTCCTTGGTGTGTCAGATCACCTCAGAGAGATAGGACTCTTTCCACGATACTCCTCTAACAAGCACCGCGGGGAGGAGGAGAGGGAGGGGGATGATCTCTTCCATCGGCGGATCCCTGCAGTACATAAAATGAACCACCTGGTGGCGTGTTTTATCAAAACATTTTTGCTGAGTTTCATAAATACCATTTCATAGTGTCATTCTTGCATAATTAAATCGTGCTTAATTGTTATACGCGCATACATTGATGTTCATTTGTATCAAAAGAAAAACACTTGAAGTCAGAATTTGGTTTCAAAATAACAATCAGAATCAATGTTCTTTATTAATGACAAAGGACAAATTATTAAGTTTAAAATTATGTACATAAAAAACTTCAAATTCAGAGCAAAACCCCTAATTCGTTGTTGTTGTTGTTTTTAAATAAAACAATACAAATAATAATTTTGCAATTCTGTTTTGATTTCTGGGTCAACCGCTAAGGGGCGATATGATCCTCCACTTTCTTTTATTTTTTGAGTCTGGTTTGGATTTCAGGAGAGCAGGTTTGCAGCGAGTAGTTAACTCTGCATTATGACTTTTGCTGGATATTAAACCAGCGTTCCCATTTTGTTCCTTGAGTCAGAATTTAAGGAGGCCTGAGGTAAAATGCAAAAGTTATTTTAGACGGCCATATCATTGTAATAACTGGCTAGGTGAAAGCTATGCTAAGCTAACCTGTTGTTTTCAGTGTGGGTGACGGCTAACGTAACATTAGCTTCGCTCAAATTAAAACAGGTGCAATTATTATTAACTAACTATTAATACATTGCTTCTATATGATGACGCTGTAGTCTGTTGAAAAATATGTTAGTTTACAACATATTTTCTTTCTGAGCTGTTTTAAGGTGGTAAATTAGTATAAAGTTAACGTAAATTATCTACGCTAACGTTAGCACGTAGCCCTGAAATATGAGAGCAGCGTGAAATCCGAGTCTGTGCGCAGGGTTAAAAAGTGTGTTTGACAATACGCAGCGGACTCAAGGACACATAAAAACTAGTCTTTCTTCCTCTGCATCAGGGTTCCCATGCGGTAGGGACGTTTCCATTACTCTTCCTGTGTCTGACATTTCACTGTGAGCCGGCGGAGGATATTGTTATTTCTGCAGTGATGTTCAACCCACACATCCATCAGCAGCAGCAGCAACAACAGCAGCAGCAGCTTCACCAACACCTGCGACAGCTGCAGCAACTTTTCCAGCAGCAGCCTCCGCCTCCTCCCCCAGCGCAGCCGCCTCCCGCTCACCATGTCGGTCATCACCACCAGACTCCGCGGTAAG